TTTGTGTTGACAAATTATGAAACGTGAAATTGTTCACAGATGGTCGGTGAACCGCCAAAGTTGTGGCTGGCATGGGTGTATCGTAAGCCGTCCGGTGAGCCACATTGGACGAAAACGCGACTGAAGAAACTTTTCGGTGAAGATGTTAAGGTTGGTTTGGTTTATTTCATATGAATTTGTGCATTTCAAACCATAACTCTCTCATCAAAACAGATCCGATTTCATCCAATTTTCAACCTTTAGTATTTGGGTGAATGAATTTGTCAGGTTTTGAGATGTTTCAGTAAAATTTCTTAAAAGAGTGGTTTTGCAGCCAGGCAAAATGGAAATATTCAAGAATACAGCAACGCAAAACGCTGAGCTATGGCATGTGAAACATTTGATTGAACTTCGGCCATTGACCTTTCCAAACGGTGAACCAACCATCGACGATGTAAACGCAATTGAGGTGAGCCAAGATGAGTTAGAGAGGAATCAAAAAGATATTTTAACGACCAACTATTAATGAGAAAACAACAATTATTCACTCTTGGATACGGAAACTGATCTTTTAAAAAATGTTTGCGATCTTTGACAATTCGAGTGATGAATGAAAAGTTTTTAGATATTTGCCGATGGACGTTGTGTAATCGACAGGCGTTTAGTGTGCGATGAGGAACAGTTACGATTGGCCGATCCAGAAAAACAGGTCAGTCTATCACGGTGATAACTGCTGATAAATGAGGGAAAAAATTGCGAACAGACAATCAGAAAAAGCTCAATGAATACTCTCCGTTTTGTATAGTTTAAAGCGGCTGAAAAAACTGCGATTATGACGCCGAACTTAATATAACGAGTGAACATTCAATTGAATAAAACAAATTTCAGATGACAGGCTCGTATTTGAGCTCAATGTTGGGAAAGCGATATCATGGATACAAGGATATTTATGAAGATAACGTTTATACACCGTCGAATATTAGTGTTATCGATTGATCAGAAAATGATGTTCATTCGAATCATTTCATTTTGTATCCGTAAACTGATTCGTGAGGAAGTTGTTGAAAATAGCTTCATTTGTTCAAATTCAAGAGAAGAGAATTGTACAACAAATAGCATTCAGAAGCAATAATTGACACTATTGTCAGGTCATCGTACCACGTGAAATTACATTAGCCCAGTTTTAGGAGGAAATTTCAGTCAATTTCATTCTAATGGTTCTCAGAGGAAAATTATTATTACAGTCAAATTTATGAACCTATTGTTTATGTGTATGTAAAAGTTTTGTGTTAATTTTGTCGTTGTCGAAATACATAGTTACTATGATGACAACTGACTTGTTTCTGTTGTCGAATCTAGGATTAAGAACGCAATAAAATAAAGATTCTCAAAAAGGTGCTGTTTGAATGCAACACAAGTAACATTTATATGGAATGAACGATGAGTTTGAATGTTTTTAGATTGCTTTGACACATGAATAGCAGAAAATTTTGATATTGTATTGTTAGCATCATTGAATCAATGG